GGAGGGGCAGGAGATTTCAAGAAGCGCTGGTTGAAAAAGAAGGTATTTAGGCAATGACGGCTCATGATTCTAAAAAGTGGAAATGCTCTGTGAAACCTCTCCCACCAGCTCAAGACATGGAAGCTGGTTCATGAAGGCTCACAAGGCATAATGAAATTTACTCAGAGTTGAAAGTGGATTTCATGCTCTTTATTCAGCTCATAGTGGTGAGGAGGAATGGAAGTTCCCCCATAATGTCTGCTTTATAATCATTGTTTACACAATGGGCCCCACATGATTGGCTAATTCCAGGATTCTCCTGTAGGCCAATCAGGTTGTGGATTCACTTCCACCTGGAGCTGGATTGGGTGGCTCCTGTGGATCAATCAGACTGCTGCATTCTGGATCCTATTGTTCTAGGACCAATCAGACTGCTGCATTCTGAATCCTATTCTTGTTCACAGATTCAGTTTACAAGTAAAGCCAAACATTTAAAGTGCAATTTGCCATGTTTCCACACTGCTTGGAGTGCGAATTTCTCCTAACACACACAGTTTTGCATGCGGTTTTGTCTAATGCTCGCCTCATGGCAAAACAGCTTCCCCAGACATTTTTGTTCGTGAATTTTTTTCTTTGAACAACTTTTTATTGGCTTTTAAACAAATACAAATGCAATAACTGCTAAACTTATCCAGCAGTACATCGAATGGTGTTTGTCTTACCCATTGTCTCTAGACATACATTTACACATTCAACAAACATATTACTTAACGTAGCCCCTCCACTGAGAATATTGAGGAGTTAGCATATGAAGGTCTTGATTTCGGTCATTAGCATAACTAAAGAAAGGGGTCTCTATTCGTTGCACCTTTAATTGTCTTCCTGTGCCTGGTGAGATGCTCAGACATTGATATATCCCAGATATTATTTTCCCATAGGTTCAGGGGTATTTCAGTCTGTTTCTTCCATTGCTGAGCTATCACTAATCGTGCTGCAGTCAGTAAGAAGCCTACTCGTTGGCTGTGGTGCAGGGTGGAGCCTAAGTCTATGTCCAAAGATATAAGGGCTAAGGCAGGATTTGGAGAAAGGGTTGGCCTGTAATTCTGAATATAATGGAGAATACTCTGTTCCAAAAGTCTTTAACATGGGGGCATTCCCGCCAAACATGGATAAGTGAACCAAGCTTTCCACAGCCTCTCCAACATATTTGTCTGTGAATTTCAAAGGATGGTTGTTGTTCAGTACATACACTGTTCTGCAAACTGCAAATTAAGCAGGTTCACACCAAAATGTGAACTGAGTTGAATTCCCACACACCCCTACACACTTCCCTAGTGAACAGGTACTGTATAAATCCACCGCAAATGCCTCATTTTTTTCATCAGTAACATGTTGTAGAATATACTTGCTAACAAAACCCTGTCAGTTCAGAGGGGCCCTAAAATATTACTCTTCATAGTGCGTAATCTTTTTCAGAATTAGTATAATTCCCTGGGAAGAATTTTGGTTGGAGGGTGCCTTGTCTGGTGTGTTGGTGTGTGTGTGTGTGTTGTGGTGTGTGTGTGTGTGTGTGTGTGTGTGTGTGTGTGTTGGTGTTGGTGTGTGTATGCGTGCATGCATGCAGTGTGTGGAGGGGTTGATGAAGTTTCAGTTTCCTCCATTGCACCCTTTCAACACATGCATTATTGGAAATGTATAAAACGAGCTAAATTGTGCTGTGCACCTACATTGAACTCCAAGGAGTGGTAGGGATTGAAGACAGCTCAGAATTTGGCCCAAGGGCTTCTTAATATAAAAAAGGCTGCTTGCCATGCATTATTCAAGCGCTGCATTATTCCAACCCAAAATAGGCAATGCACTGATTTATTTACACAGTGGGTGCTGTAACGGGATGAAATTCATGAACTGCGGCTTGGCTCGCCTGAGTTTCTAACCGTTGCGAGCCAGACTGCATTAAACACATTTGCATGCCAGAGGCAAGAGGTGGAGCGTTAAAAGAGGCAACAAAACCTCCTTCCCGTTTTTGCACCACTCTGTACCAATTGCCAGACGAAAGTGATCCAAGTCCAGAAGTAGTTGCTGGTTTATGTATTTGCTTGCTGCTGTTTTTGCAACTGCGTTGTACGTACGGCTGCAAAACTCAATGCTTTCCATGAAATAAACATAGCCACATATATTCTGGAAGAAAACTAGATAGTCATAGCTAAATTGGGTAGCCTTCTACTACCCAAAGTCTTGCACATAACCCAGATTAAGAGTTAAAAAAGAAACCGTTTGGTTAATGCTGTGGTTTTCCAGTTTTCTACCTTCAGCAAACACATCTGCATCAGTTTTTCTGCTAAGACATTCCACCCTGAGAATCTGCCTTGGATTCCCCATTGCAGACTATCCCAGGCCACATGTTAGGGGGGTTATTCAGTTCACATAGGGGCCCCTGAGTATCATGGAATCATAGAATAGAAGAATTGGAAGGACTCCAGGGGTCATCTAGTCCAATCCCGGCAATGCAGGAATCTCAGCTAAAGCATCCAGGACAGATGGCCATATAACCTCTACTTAAAAACCTCCAAGGAAGGAGAGTCTACAACTTCTCGAAAGAGACCGTTCCACTGTTGAACAGCTCTTACTGTCAGAAGGTTTTTCCTGGTGTTTAGTGAGAATCTCCTTTCTTGTAACCTGAAGCCATTGGTTCAACTCCTATCCTCCAGAGCAGGAGAAAACAAGCTTATTCCCTCTTCCATGTGACAGCCCTTGAGATATTTGAAGATGGCTATCCTATATACAGAATTCATCATGCGAAAGGCTGGACTGGATGAATCCCAAGACGGAATTAAGATTGCCAGAAGAAATATCAACAACCTCAGATATGCAGATGACACAACTTTGATGGCAGAAATTGAGGAGGAATTAAAGAACCTCTTAATGAGGGTGAAAGAGGAGAGCGCAAAATATGGTCTGAAGCTCAACATCAAAAAAACGAAGATCATGGCCACTGGGCCCATCACCTGCTGGCAAATAGAAGGGGAAGAAATGGAGCCAGTGAGAGATTTTACTTTCTTGGGCTCTATGATCACTGCAGATAGTGATAGCAGTCACAAAATTAAAAAAAAAGAGCGATGACAAACCTAGACAGCATCTTAAAAAGCAGAGACAAAGATCTCTATTGTTAAAGCTATGGTCTTCCCAGTCGTGAGGTATGTGAGTGAGAGCTGGACCATAAAGAAGGCTGATCGCCGAAGAATTGATGCTTTTGAATTATGGTGCTGGAGGAGACTCTTGAGAGTCCCATGGACTGCAAGAAGATCAAACCTATCCATTCTGAAGGAAATCAGCCCTGAGTGCTCACTGGAAGGACAGATCCTGAAGCTAAGGCTCCAATACTTTGGCCACCTCATGAGAAGAGAAGACTCCCTGGAAAAGACCCTAATGTTGGGAAAGATGGAGGGCACAAGGAGAAGGGGACAACAGAGGACGAGATTGTTGGACAGTGTTCTCGAAGCTACCAACATGAGTTTGACCAAACTGTGGGAGGCAGTGGAAGACAGAAGTGCCTGGCGTGCTTTGGTCCATGGGGTCATGAAGAGTCGGACACGACTAAACAACTAAACAACAACAACAACAAATCATATCTCCTCTCAGTCTCCTCTTTTCCAGGCTAAACATACCCAGGTTCCTCATAAGGCTTGGCTTCTAGACCCTTGATTATCTTAGTTGCCCTCCTTTGTACACGTTCCAGCTTGTCAACATCACTTAAAGGGAGCTCCCAATTGCTCCTTTGCTGGAGCTATGTGTATTCCCACTTGCCCATCAACTGAGTACACCTTGCTTCAGCAGCATGAATCAGCTTGTCTTCAAACCATTGTTAGGTCAGAGGGCAAAAGCTCCATTTTAGCAGCAGTTTCAATGAAAACTTGGTCAGGTGGGAGGGACAACCCACTTGCAAATAACTAACTGGTTGTCCCAAACACCTTTCATATAAAGATCTGCCTCCCCAGGATGAAAAATGTCCTCACCCCTGTTGCAAACTAACCATTCTTCATCTCAAACATTCTGCAACATAATTGGGCATACTTTGGGATGCTGTAGCAGTGCATGTGATGAGAGCAGAGCTGCCCCCTGACACCAATATCACTGCTGCTTACCTGGACAGGTGGTGGGGCAATGGGGGGGGCTGCACGGTTGCCCTGGTGGGACCAGCAGATTGGCAGCTGGTGCAACATCACAGACCCACCCTCACTGTGGTCCAGAGAAGTAGCAGCAACACAAGTGCTGGGAGGGTGTCTGTGTGTGTCGGGACGTTGCAGATAAGTGGTAAGTTGCTAGATGAGCAACTTGTGAATTTAGCTGGTCTCCTTTCCCTGTCGCTTCCAAATCTGCCCTTTCTAAAGCAGGTGTTAAAAGCCTTGAACCCTTGAGCTTCATTAACTGAAATGGTTGAGAAAGCGTTGCAGACCCTGAAAATTCATAAGTAGCACACACATTCCCACAAAGAAATAAAAGGATCAAAAGAGCCCTTCTTCAGGCAGAATTGGGTAATCCAGATCACACCGGGTAATTCTGGCCCTACGATAAGGAAAAGAGACCTCCAACTGCATTTTTCAACTTCAAGAAAAGGAAAAATTTAAAGTCGCAAAATGGTCTTATGTTTCTTTGATTTTTCACTTGAATTGCATTCTAAGAATTAGAGGTTTTCAAAAAGAAAGCTCTTGATCTTAACTCAGGGCAGAAATATAAATAGACTGGCAAGCGTTGCGGCAGCGTAGCCAGAAGTTTGTACTCTTTCGTTTAGCTGGTGAGGTTTTTCACATGTCAGAAAACTTCCAAAGTTCAAATGAGCACTTTAGAAGAAATTTGTTCCTGGTGTAGGAGGAATCTTAGCTTGCTTTTGCTTCGGAGTAGAAACTTACAGCCCATGTTTGAATAGCGGATGGAGGCACATCGCTTGATGTCATTCTCAGCTAAACCTGTGAACGGGCTCCTTTCGGTTTCTGACACTGCAGTGCCGTGAAGTGAGCTGCATGGTACCAGCTCAGTTGGTTAGAGCATGGTACTGGTAATGTCAAGGTTGCAGGTTCGACCTCCGAAAGGGACAGCTGCATATTCCTGCATTGCAGGGGGTTGGATGAGATGATCCTCAGGATCATGATTCTATGAATGTGAGGACTCAATGTCACTCCTAAGTGCTTTCTATTGGGACTTAGCTCCTGGATAAATCTGGTTCTGTGGAGCAGTCTTCCCCAAACTGGTGCTCTCCACATATTTTGAATTACAAATCCCATCAGCCCCAGCCAGCATGCCTGTGTCAGGAACTCGTCCTACTCTCAAGTAGAACCCTGGCAGAGACACATGCCCACCTGGCATGTTCTCTCCCTCCTGGTCGATCGTTCGGGAGCTTCAAAAGCTTTCTTCTGCCCGAACATCACAGCTACCGATGCCAACAGACACCGGCACACTTAGGGATCCGCAGAGTCTTCGCAGCTTGCATAACAGACCTCAGCTACTCAGCATTTTGGCTAATCTACTTTATTTACATATAAACACACACGGAGCACTGCAACACGGCTCCCTCTCTCTCTAGCATCAGACAGCAGAGAGAGTGAACAAAGGACAATAGTCCCACTTCACGGAACACAGTAACACAAACATCCTGCCTCCGTCACTTCCCACTCTGTGGAGTCAAAACATACACCGTTATGTGATAGACAAAAATCCCATGACTGCAATCATGGAGCAGGAATTCCAACAGCCTGATGGTCAGAGATGATGGTGTTGGGTTTCAGTTCCTCTCACTGTGCAGATATTGTGTAGGATTGGTTCATCACATGTCTGTGTTATGCATGCCAGCACCGACTGTTGGAATCACGGGAACCGGTGTTTACTGTACTCTGTTTCTGTTTGTTTTTGCTTTCACTTCTGACTTCTCTCCGAGGAAGACCAGAGAGAGGAGACATGTTTTCTATTAAGCCTTATGCTTAATAAAGTAGCTTAGTGCTTACAACCCCAGCCTAGCTCTGACTGTGTTTTATCTCTGCTGGACTCTGGATGTGTGCTCAATGTCTCCAAGACATGAGTCACTATAAATCATCAGGGAAGGCTGTCGGAACTCCCTAGAGCTGCATGCTGATGGGAGGGTCAGGCTGGAAATGTTCCTGTCGTTTGCCTGGAGGTCGTCTATGCCCCCGGCCAACCCGACAGATGGGAGTTGTAGTCCAAAACATGAGCAGGGTGCTCATTTGAGAAAGGCTGCTATAGGCATACAAAGCTGTCTTACACTGAGACAGATCACTTTAATCTCCAGATTCTTGCTTTTGAAGTTTCATCCCTACCCACCTCACCTCTGATGTCATGTGAAAACAGCCTCACGTGTTAAATGAGGAGGCTTGGTGGGCCAAGTCTGACCTACAGGTCCACCCATCAACTAAAACACCATATCACACCACTATTGCAAAAGCCTGGGCAAAAAGAGGCATCTTGACCAGATGACAACAGGCTGTAGAGAGGGGAGATGGTTTTAAAGCCCAGGGGCTACCACCTAAAAGACCCTCCCATGTGTCACCACCGCTCAAGCCATGTTTGGCAGAGGCATAATGAAAGTGTGTCTCTGACAGATTTCCATGCTTGGGCAGGGCAGAGCAAAGGTGCTCTGTTGGATATTTGGAGCCCAAGCTGTTTAGGATTTTATATTTTCACATACAAACTTTGAATTAGGCCCAAAAGAAAATTAGCCACCTAAGCAGAACTTTTAAAACTGGTGCAATATGTATCCTGCCATTGGTACCTGCCCGTATCCTGGCTGCCACAATCTTCACCAGCTGCAACTATTTGACTGTCTTCAGCATCATACAGAGTGCATTAGAGTAGTCCAACCAGGAGATCACCAGGGACTATATAATTGTAGCCAGGCTTTCTCTGGCAAGGGAGGGCTATAGCTGGGAGCCAGCCAAAGTTGGAAGCAGTCTGGAAATGTTTTTTGTAAGTGGCCTACATAATTTAATTGATGGACAGCCATATAAATTTAATATATTAATACTACTTAGGAGAAATGTAAGCCTTTCCCTCTCTTTCCTCTCATCTCTCTCTGTCATCTCCTCCACTTTTGGAATTTTATTGTAAGTTCCTTGAGGAAAGGACATTACTTTTTAAAATACTCCGCTATAGTCCTCCCTTCAAAGAGAGACAATTCCCAGTGCTCTTAACACCCCACAGTTCCGAGGATCCTTTTGGGTGTGCTTTAAATGTATGCAGCCTAAGCACCATTGAATTCAATAGGATTTAGTTCTTAGGACTGCACTGTTCAGATACTACTGCAACTACCAATAATAATGATAGTGATGTAAAAATAAACTTTGTTGTGTTTGTCAATATGAAGAGAAATCGGGCAAATAACCTAAACAAACTTGGAGCAGAGATCAATTCTAATTCTGGTAAGTCTATATTTTTGTATTTTGATGCCAAAGAGCACAATCCTAACCATGCCTACTCAGGTGTAAGTCCCATTTAATTCAATTGAGTAACTTCCAGGTAAGGACGGTTAGAATTGCAGTCTTTCCCCAGCTGCTCCACAAAGTTTCTCCTGATATTGCAGAAATGGCAACTTATTTCATGCATGTGGTCTAATTTATTCTTATTACTCCAGAGCAGTCCTACAGTAAACGAGTGCCATTTCCCCCTAAACCAAGTCCTGCAAAGTTTATTAGTACGATAAGAGAAGAATAGACTGTTAGGAGTTTCTTAGAATATTTTTGTGAAGTTACTGACTTGTCTAAGTAACGCCAGACAACATTGATCCATCCCCTCATTATAGCTGCAAGAAGCATTATCATCCACTACCAGGAAAGACACTTAGAACAGAGAAAAGCTTTGGAAAACCTGAAGAGCTGCCTCAATGGAAAAACTGACAAGATAAATAATCAGAGAATTAGATCGAGTATATACAGATGGTTTTGAAGCAATCTTTTACCTCCAGACCATCATTATCACGAAGAAGACACACAAAATGGAAGTACTGGTTACTATGGAAATAGTGGTTACACCTTCAGTAACGTTGCACTGAAATGCACTGGTCCCTCCGAAGAACATAAGGATCAAATTAGGCTTGTCCACAGGTTACATTGAACGCTGGTATAAGCTGTATGCACAAATGTTTGTCAGAAAGAGTGTACACTTCTTTTTATTTGTACAGCTCAGCTGTTGTGTACACAAAAAGACCCATCCATTTTAGCATTGTGTATCTTCTTTCTTTTTGGCGATCCCTCATAGCCAAGTAGGATTGTCTTCCAAAAATATGGTTTTAACAGTGAGTCCTTAAGTGACTGTGGAGGCCAGTTGTGGATCCACACGTCCTTCCACAGTGGGGACATAGGTTTCCGGGTGGGAGTTGATAACGGTGAAGGTTTGCCAAGCGTGCCTTCCTCCTAGCGCGTTTCTCCCTTTCATCCTGAGTTCGAGCGTCTTCAAAACCCATGGCACCCAACTTCTGATAGCAACAACTAATAATAACAACTAATGCAGACTCCAGAGCTGGAGACAGTTCTGTGTATGGAGGCAGAGGAACAAATTCTAAAGTGGAATGCTGAAGAGAGCTAAAAAGAAGAAGAAGAAGGCTAGTTAAGTTGCCTGCTTTTGACAAGGCCGAAAACCCACCTTATTGCTTAAGTTCTTTTTTCTTTTTCTTTTTTCTTTTTGCATCTTTTCGCACACTCCTATTGCAGGCTTCCTATTCCAGGTTAGCAGCTCTCACATGCCTTTGATCTCCCTTGCAATAGAGGGGTTGCCAGTTAAATTGTCATTTTCTCAAACTCCCTGTCAAGTTCACCTCGTTGTGCACATACAAAATCAGCAGCACTTCGTCATATTGAATGTAGGATTAGTTAAACGGATGTGGATGTTTGTATTCATGGAGACATCCTTTCTCTGACTTTTAAGAAAAGTTCCCATTACGGTTAATAGAGTCAGCCTTAGAAGGAATTCAGCTTATATACGAGCTGATATTTATTTATTTTTAGAAAAGGGAACTTGGCATGGATATCAATGCAACGCATAACAGTATAGTTTCTCTAATTTATGAGAGAACTATATGTTTCACATCTGAGAAGGAGGAAGAAACCTTCAATAATGGCTGCGTAAGAAAGGAGAATACAACAGGCAATGTGGTATCCTCGTTGTTGGAGACCAACCTCTCAACCTGGTTCCCCCCCACCCTGGCATGGATGGAGCTATCGCCCTCACGCCGGGGTGCCACCAGAATCACCCAGGGCTATTGCCCAATCATGTCAAAGGGTGATAGTGGGGAAAAGTATAAAAGCGGCAGCACGACGTGTGCCAGGCTCCTGCTTTGCGCTGCCGAACACCCACCCACTTTAATTTAGGTGTCCTCTGGCCTTGCTTTGGACTTTGGTTGGTTGCCCATCTTGAGTTGGGGGCTGGGTAGGGATTTTTTCCATTTGGCAAATTGGCACGGGCCACTTGGTTTTTGCCTACCTCTTAGCAATCGTCACAACTTTGTTAGGCGGTTAGTCATTGGCTTATGGTGAATGGGGGAGGGGAGGTTAGCCATCGCCTGCCCCTCCATTTTCAAGGGTATTCCTTTAAAGGAAGCCAGGGCCTGGTTCCTGTCAGAAGTCTGCTTGAGGGTGAAAGCCATGCCAGGCCTCTGGGAACACCAGGGGAGATGCAGGCAGGTTCCCCTGAAGCAATTTCCCTTTGGGTGGTTTACCCTTACAGACTTCCCGCAAAGGGGGCAGGAGTCAGATATAGTCTTGCCAATGCCTAAGCCAATACCGCTCTCATTCCTGTAATCAACAAAGTTGTGGCCAAAATTTTGCCCAAAAACCTTAAACAAAATATCTGCGTCTGTGTGAATTTATTTACCCTAATGGGGGGTCGGCTTGAGGGTCTTGCTACGCAACCAACTCCTAGGGGCCAAGGTCCCTTTGTCCTCCCCAATAAAATGTTTGAGGGGGGCAGGACCCCCCGAAAGTTGACGGGCATTGCTATTCAAATGGTGTGCATGTGTCACATCTTGTGATCAATTATGTGGGCTTGTGCTTACCTACCCTCCTCCAATATTTGATTCAAGTTGCCCCCCCCTGGCTGTTATCATCTTCTTATGAATGAACATGTGTGAACTGGCCTGTTCTGCCTGATAGAGAAGCGATGAGCAAGTCCTCTTGCTGCTCTCTGTGTGGGTGCCTGTACCAAATTTCTTCAAAAGAGCAGTGGTTTGACTTGCAACCTGATCATTTTCCTCCCCGTCTTGGGTATCATGGAAAACCACCGAAAGATGATTCAGCAGCCTGCAGTCCTGCAGCTGTGGGTTGGCTGGAACAGCAGTATTTCCTTCAGCTCGACAAAAGAACCCTGTGAATTCCTTCTCCGAGATTCAAAGACTTTCCCCAGCCACTTACTTGTTCAAAGTCTGCTAGGAGATAAGGGAGGAGGGCATTGCCTCCTCTGTTATCTCTTCACAGACAATGAACAGTAGAAGTAACCACTGCCAGCTAACCCACTTTCTGGAAGGACACAATTCAGATATTCTTCCAACCCCACAGAAATGATGGCCGTTTGAAAAGTCACGCATTACAGAGGGGTTGCAGAGTAATTTTCTGGGAGTTCGTGGGAAAGGCTACGGCAAGGGTACCTTGGCACGGAAGAGTACAGAAGGGAAAGCCAGAGGTGTTCTGCTCTCGACACCAATTAAATCTGGACATAAAAATGTTGGAGTATAATGTTTAGCATTTCTAAGGCATTTTGGAGTGTTCAAGGCGCTTCACAGGCACAGAGTTAGTTTGCACTACATGGTAAACTGTAGTTTGGCTTACCGAGTCTTTCAGGTAGGAGGGGGGGGAAAGTTCAGTTCACATTTAAAGGCAAATTCACGGTTGTTGAAACAGTTCATGAACCAACAAAACACAGCCATCCTATGGAATTCACACTTATCTGAATGCTGCAGTGCAATTAATGTGCACAAAAATTCATATACTAAAGTTTACATTAAAATGTATATGTTACTAAAAATACGCTAATATAAATAATATACAAAATACATTGCTTTGCAAGAAGATGTTTATTAGGCAAAATTGCATGCAAATGTGTATATTATGATAAATTCACTCTAAAATGCTGGTAAATTTTCATGTAGACATCTTAAAATAAACACAGATTGATGTGAAAATGTGGAGAATTGAATTTAAGATTGGAAAAAAGAGAAACAGAGAGAAACCAAAGATTAGCTCATCCCTAGCTACGAACCAGGCCATTGTCTCAGTAATCTTTGGAAGATCTCTGCAAGCCAGACCAGGGTTTTAAAATTCCCATATAGTTGGGTTACTTAAAGCCACCAGAGAAAGAAAATCTCTGGGTGCACAAAATATTATTTATTGGGTCTAATGCATTTTGAATCAAATTTTCCTAGGGGTCCTGTAAAATAAAGCCCTCTGTGTTCTGCACTCTCCCAGTACTCTTTTGCAAAATGAATCACTTTTCAAGAGGGTAATTAGAGAGTACACAACACAGAGTGAGGTATTTTACAGTACCCCAGAGGAAGATTTCATTCAAAATGCAGTGGGCCTAATAAATGATATTTTGCGTATTAGAGGTTTCCACTCTTTCTTCCTGCTTTGGTGCCTCTCCATTTTTTCTTCACTGAGGTGTGGTGAGATTTGGAGCAGGGCCTCTATGCTCACAGCTCACACGAGAGATGGAGCGCATCTACACAGATATGTGAATGTCAGGATGCTGTCAGCTGCTCCCGGCTGGTTGCCCAGGGAAGTATAAAGACAAGTTTCTTTACAGTCCTTTATTATTTCAAACTTTATGGAGAGAGGTTATAGAACTGAAACTCTTGGATACTGGCATTGTCCCAAGTGAATCTCCACCCCCCCATCTCTCCCACTTCCTCATTCACCATCATTCTCATCATTTCCTCTATAGGTGCTGCTACATGCCCTCTGTCTTTGAGCTCTTTGCTCTCCTACTTTTAAGGCTCGCCGGGTTCTGGGAGATGGAGGGTCTGGAATGCTTTCTAATGAGAACGTGTCAGCCAGCTGCCGCTCTGCCTTTCCCATGATTTCTCAACTTTTCCCCTCATCTGCCTTTGATCTGCGACCTCCCACAAACCCCTGCTGTAAATCTATACTGTCTTCCTCTTCCTCCTCCCTGGGAGGGTCAGGATGGAGAGACGGTCTCCACCACTCCTCCTCCTCTGCACAGCCCCTGACATCACCCCCCTCCAGTGTCCTCCTTCTTTGCCCTGTCCCTGACAGTGAATTTTTTGACTATGTAACTTGAAAAGCTGGCAACTTTTGATTGTTTGGATTTGGGCAGGCTTTGAATATGAAAATTGATTAGTATTACAGCTTGTCAATAAAATACTGTCAAATACTAACCTCCACTATGTGCTACTTGGTACGTGTTCCCAGATCCAAAAACAACACTAATTTGCAGCTCCCAAATACTACCCACTATTAAATACTATTGAATACATCAAATGTACTAGGATATGGTACAGCAACTTTTTCAAACTGCTACCAAGTAACCCTGGAACAGAACCTTTTTCCAGTCTCAAGTCCAGGCTTCTACATTTCCCCATAAGTTTTCTTTCTTTTCTTTTTTCTTTTTAAAAAAACCTCCTCCTGGAAATTCACCAGTATTTTTGTATGCAATTTTTCTAAATATACACATTTTTCAGACCAATTTCCCCTAATGTGGATGCATCTTTATGTGTCATTTTCACCAATATATGCATTTGTTATGCACACTTTACCCTAGTGTATGCATTTTTGTACACTTTACTTGGCTGGAGAACTTGGTTGCAAAATTCAGATAAGTGCTAATCTTGAAGGACAGCTGCACTTTGGTTCACATATTGTTTCAGAAATTGCAAATTAGGCAAGTTTGCATCTCAGCGTGAGACTGAATTGAATTTCTCCCTTCTTTCTAGTCAGAACGTAGGTAGCAAGCGGCCTATAGAAGTTATGGGACACCAGCTCCCATCAGGCCCAGCCAGCAGGGCCAAATTGAAATTGTGGCAGCTGTGGTCCTTCAATATCTCAATAGCATCATGCTGGTTAGCCCTGCCTGGTCTACACTGACTACCAGTGTCTCTCCAGGATTTTGGACTTGCATGTCTTTCCTGGAAATTGTTTGAATCTGGGATCTTTTGCATGCAAGACATGTGCTCCACCAGTGAGCTATGGACCTCTTTTGTATTCTCATCAGGGGTTTCTTAATGAGAAATTCAGTAATATCAGACAAGCTTCCCTGACAGCAAACCTGTCCACCACTACTGATCCGCAGCTACAGGGGTTTTTGCTGTGTATCTTCTAGGGCACATTCTCTGATCACAATGGGCAGTAATACGGCCCAACAAGGCCCATTGTGAATCCTATAACATTCCCCAAGAATCTTCAAATAACCAAGTAGGAGCCATCAGGTAGCAAACACTGAAATCTAGTATGTTTGAGTGTCAAATGTAGGTTACCAAATACACAAAGAAGATGGGAGCATGCAGAGGGCATCTGGACAATATTTTGACACCAACATTTGCTAAGGAGAATTCCGAGGAGCACATTCATTTCTGCTCTCTCTCACACCCTTAGACTTCTGCCCTATACTCAGATTTGGAAACCCTCTTTTCCCCCCTGTCAAAGGCTGCATTCCCTTGGGAAAAGTCTGTCTGGAGCTATGCTGGATCTGGGCAGGGGCAGAACCCCAAATGAGTGAAGCTCCCGTTTAATTTTCTTTCAGCCACCTCCATCTTTTCCTCTCTCTCTCTTCTGCCCCACCAGGAACACACACAGCCCTGCCAACCTTAGTCTACCTGCCTTCGTACTTACAACCAGCCCAAGTGGGCTGCAATGGCAGTCAGCTTCCTTCTCCTTAGCCCTTGTAGAATTCAGCAAGGAAGGAAGATGGGGTCAAAACCGTAATTAGTTAGCTCTGCCTACTGTTGGGCTCTGTCTTTTGCTGTATCTGCACCAATGGGTATCAGACACACTGCTCCCTCCTTCTCCCATCAGTCCATTTTTTAAAGTTCCCATTTTCCCCTTTGGCTGTTCTCTGCCTCTGGACCCCACAGCCACGTGAAATCAGCCTGAGGGACGCATGGAATTAAGCCAAGGGATAATGTGGCTAAGCCCTCAGCCTGCAGGTTCTCCACCCCTGCTACACTCAAATTATTTGGGAGTAAGCTGCATTGAACATAGTGGGGCTTGCTTATGAGTAAGCAGGCATAGAACTGCTCTGTTAAGCCTTTATTCATATGCCTGGGATGGGGTTCCATTGAACATCATAGGACTTGCTTCTGAGTTTACATGCATAAGATGGTGCTGTGAGCTGCTACAACACAACAGGAAATGTGTATATATGTGTGTGTGTGTGTGTGTGTGTGTGTGTGTGTGTGTGTGTTAGCTTAAGACCACCAGCTATTACAAGGACTTTACTACAGTGGTACGTCGGAATGTGAACGGGATCCGTTCTAGAGCCCCGTTCGCATCCCGAATGGAACGCAAGACATGACAGCGCGTCTGCGTGTGCGCGGGTCGTGTTTCGCTGCTTCCGCACATGCGCGAGCCGCGAAACCCAGAAGTAACATGCTCCATTACTTCCGGGTTGCCACGGAGCGCAACTCAAACGCGCTCAACCCGAAGCACATTCAACTCGAGGTATGACTGTATTAGCAAACGACCCATTGGTATGTATACAGTGGTACCTCGGGTTACATACGTTTCAGGTTACATACGCTTCAGGTTACAGACTCCACTAACCCAGAAATAGTGCTTCAGGTTAAGAACTTTGCTTCAGGATGAGAACAGAAATCGTGTTCCAGTGGTGCGGCAGCAGCAGGAGGCCCCATTAGCTAAAGTGGTGCTTCAGGTTAAGAACAGTTTCAGGTTAAGAACGGACCTCCAGAACGAATTAAGTACTTAACCCAAGGTACCACTGTATTCGCTTCCCCATAAAATCTCCCTCTCAGCCCCCCTCCTGACTGTCAGCTTTGAGCATCAAACAATATATTATTATTAATATTATTCAGAAATGAACATACTTCACCAGCACAAATATCAGTCCTTATATCAAAGGAGTAGCAGGAAAAGGAGCCCTCTGTCTATGATAAAGGAAAGTATCTGAACCCACATCACCAAAGCTCGACACACTGCCATCCATAGCGGGCTCATTTGCTTTCTGCCTTATCTGTCCCAGAGCATAATCATTCGCAGTGGCATCTCCATGTCTCTCTATAATTTGGGGTGATATGTGACATTAGGCTATATTTCATTTAGGGGCGGCACCTGCACTTCGGTGTTTAAGAACATCTGATCAGGAGAATTGCCCTACAAGAAGGCATGGGGCTATTTACGGCCTACAATAACTCAGCGTGAGTTACAGAACTGCAGCCCAGATCCTAATGGGCTGATTACCCCTTCTGCCGAATCATCAGTAAAGATATTAAAGAGAAGCAGCTTGTGTTCTGGCGGTAACAGCCTATGTGACAGCTCCAGCTCAGTTCGCTGCTACCTCTTCCCGCTCCTTGTTTACAGAGCCACAGACAGCTTTAAGCCTATGTGACAACGCTCAAGGCCAAGTGAAGTCGAATTGATTTTCCAAGATTACAAGGAATGCTCTACCTTATGCTTTCCTTTCAAAGAATAATTTTACCTGTGGCAATCATAGGGTCTGAAGGGAGCGGGGAGGACAGTGATACTCGTCAGTGTGGCCTTACTCTGCACCAGGTTTTAGCCTTGAGCCGATGCCCACCTGAAAGCCCATTCAGTAAGAATATGACCCAATTTGTCTTGGAGGCCGGTCCATTCTACGGACACAGGTGGCACTGTGGTCTAAACCACCGAGCCTCTTGGACTTGCCGATGATAAGGTCAGTAGTTTGAATCTGCGCGATGGAGTGAGCTCCCATTGCTTTGTCCCAGCTTCTGCCAACCTAGCAGTTCGAAAGCATACCAGCGTGAGTAGATAAATAGGTACTGTTGTGGCGGGAAGGTGCACAGTGTTTCTGTGCGCTCTGGCACTCATCATGGTGTCCCGTTGCCCCAGAATCGGTTTAGTCATGCTGGTCACATGACCCAGGAAAGCTGTGTGCTGAGGAACACTGGCTCCCAAAGTCTGAAAGCAGAGATGAGCGCTGCACCCTATAGCCGAATTCATCTGGACATAAATGTCCTTTGCCTTTACCATTCCAGTGAATCTCAGTCTGCCCTCAGCCAGTTCCCTGCATCTGACCGTCTTCTTACTTACAACCATTTTTCTAGAAAAAGAGATGCTGGAACTCACCATGAACACCTCCCTTGTTCTCTTTGTGAATGCCAATGGCAGCCACCTGAGAGGTGGCGCCATTTTTTTCCTGGAGAGTTCCAGGTGGAAAAAAAGTGCTGCTTACAACGGGTCCAAGGAGTGGCATTTATAGAATTTATTATCATGCAAAATAACCAAAGCATTGAAACAGAAAGTAACAGAAATAATAAACTAACGTGGCAAAGGGAGATCCAACCTGTAATAATATACTGTAATATAATATGGAATGCCAATGCAGATATGGATATCAAGGAATAAGCAACCAGTTACTGAAAATACAAAACAATACAG